AAAGAGAACTTACCTTTGTCAAATAAATAATTTTTATATAAAATTTCAATTTAACTGCAGCTCTTAAGAATGATAAATCATAACCAAGTCACCTTTAAGACTACAAATAACTAAAAGTGCAATGTTTCTTTCATTTTAATCTATTTTGGCCTACTTCAAAGGCATACTTTTTTTAAAACAGATACATGGGATTAAAAAGTATTTTAAAACTCTATCTCAGTAACAATAAAATACCAAAAGCTGGTCATTACCAAAAAATGAAAAGTTAACAGGAAATTGCTTTAACTTTTTTCAAAAGCATATTTTTAAAAATATGAAACTAAGTATATATTTGTAGCCTAGGACCATGTGAGGATAAAACAAACATTTGAAAACTTCTTGGCCTTTTCTTCCCCCAAGTGTTCAGTTGTATAATTCAATTCAAAGCATTATTATATTAGAAAATTCCATTTAATCGTCTTTTACTAACACAAACTTCCTAAGACATTTTCAATGTATTAACTTATTAATGATTTTATAGTCTTTAACCTCAACCATTTCTGAGATGGGTTAAAAAATAAAGCCTTCCATGTCAGCTGATCTCTCAAAAGAAATGTTGCAATCTAGAAGAGACTGGCAAGAAATACTCAAAGTCATGAAAAGCAGGGACCTACAGCCAAGATTGCTCTAGCCAGCAAAGATACCATTTAGAATCCAAGGGCAGATAAACAAAGCACCTCCCAGACAAGAAAACTAAAGAAGTTCATCATCACCACACCATCATTATATAAAATGTTAAAGGATCTTATTACTAAAAAAAACAAAACTATGAACCATAAAATGGCAATAAATACATAGCTATCAACAATTGAACCTAAAAAACAACCTAAGCAAACAAGAACAGAAGACAGAATCATGAATATGGAGAGTGTTTTGATGGTTGCCAGATGGGAAGGAGTTTAAGGGATTGAGTGAAGAGGTGAGGGGATTAAGAAGAACAAATAGGTAGTTAAAGAATAGCCAGGGGGATGTAAAGTGCAGTATAGGAAATGCAGTAGCCAAAGAACCCATACATACAACCCATGGACACAACAACGGTGTGAGGACTGCCTGGGGGAATGAAGGTGCTGGGGGGGAGGAGGACAAAGGAAGAAAAAAATGGGACAACTGTAATAACAAAATCAATCAAGTATAACTTAAAAAAATTAAAACAAAGCCTTACATTTTTGGTGTTTAGATAGCACAGATGCAAAATAAGTATTAGCTAAATTTGATAGCTCACAAATGCTTCTCTATGCTATAACTACTGATAATGCATTAGCAGCAGCATTTCCTGAATGGTCATAAACAACTGTAATAGGCCACTGATTGCTGTTCACCTTGAGTATACCACCCAATGACAAATCAATACCTACAGTTCCACAGACCTGCCTTTTTGACCTTCCATTTGCGGCAAACACACAAAATTGTAATTTGTTTTCTTTGCTCAAGGGAGGTAAGAAGTTGACACACTTTTCTTCTTAAACAAGGTATATTGGATATAAATTCTTTTTTTCTTGACTCACAATCATCAGTGGGAATGTTGATTCTTGTCCGGTGTGTTGGTAGACAATTCATGGGTCTCACACTTCTGCACATCTCATAAGCAGAGGTGCTGGCTTCTTTAGTTCTGAACTAACTTTTCAAGGATGTGTGTATAGCAAGTAACATAGGAAGGTGAAGATATTATCTCCCTACAGAGTAGAAGGCAGACTTGTTTACTATCCAGTGTAATAAAAATAATGTCTCTCTGAGCTAAGGTTGAGCAGGTTTCCTTGGATTATCTAAACTAAGGGTTCTGCTGCTGTGGACGTATGGGGCAGGATGAGATGACCCAAACATGGGAGTTCATGCTGTTAGCTAGGCTGTAACATTGTTTCTGACCCAGGAGTCCCATGTCTTCTGCCAAAATCAACATTGGGGTTACCTAAATTTGGGGTTTTTTGGCTCTGACAAAACCCATCTGGGCTACTCTGTTTGCCCCTGTGGAATTTTACAGGGCAAGGAGAACTAACATAAACATGAAGCTCATGCTGTCAGCTGGGCTGTAATACAGTCCTTTTGTCTCTTCTGACCCAGAGTCGCATGTCCTCTGCAGTATCCAGGACACTCACTGACAGGCTGGCTTGTCAGCTTACAAGTAGAATAAAATCTTAGACTCTTCACAGTTCTTGTTGACAAGGATGGGATGCCAGCAGAGACATGGCTTTCTGGTACAGAAAAGACAAAGGTCCATGGGCTTAGGGGAATAAGAAGATTCCCTGGGACCTGGCAGCAAATGTTCTTGTCCAAGTGGTGGCTGTGGGGGAGTAAGAGTTAACCTTTAAAGGATATGCAGCAAAAGGGAAGATTGAAATAAGCTGTCTAGTGGTGTTTGGGTGGTTATTCAGTCTCCACAGCCCCAGGTGGCAGGCACTGTGTCTGTAGCTGTTGAGTAAAGGAGTCCCAGAGCTGAAACAAATGTCAGCAATGAGGTTCTAGGAGAACTTTGGGTAACTGAAAAGTTAATTAAGTTGAGCCGTGAATAGCTATGAGGGAGTAAGTGTGCCTTGCTTACTGGTACAGAGCTACCCTCCTCCTCCACACCCCTAATACCTCCAGTGACCCTCTAAGAAAACCTTAAAGAAAATGATTAGGAGTAGGCAACCAAGGTCTCCCTGTCCCCAAGAAAGACTGAAGGCCTTATGTACTCAAGTATGTTGGGGAACTTCAGGGAGAGAAAGGATTCAAACTTTTATGGTTCTATGCATATAGGCACCCAAGTCACCACCCTACCTGGCCGATCATGGGGAGAGGGTACTCAGATTCTGCTAATAGGTTTGGACAGTATTCCCAGGGGGGAGGGAAACTAACATGACCTAGTGGATGGGGTCCTTGAGGCTAATTCAGTGAATTGTTGTTTCTACATCTGAATGTATAAATGGCTTGTTAGATATAATTATACTTTCCTGTCCATACTGTCAAGGGGAATTCTCCCCCATTGGAAAGAGTCACAGGTCCAACAGGTGGGTCAGGATTTTGTGGAACTGACCCTACCATCTGATGTCCATAGTTTTCAATATGAAGATCTATCCACTTCATATTCTTGGCTGAATATGCAGCCCTTCCTGTCTGCCTGCCTCTGAACTTCTGGGTTACGTAGCTAGTCCCCATGATGGAGTAAGCCAACAACATGTATGGTATGTGTGTTATGTTTTTCTATTTTGTCCCTACTCTCCTGCTTCTCTAGCTGAACCCTGGTTGATACAGTCCCCCTTGGACATTCTACTTGGTCCTTTATACTGGCTTCACCACAAGGCAGCCATTATTGAACCTGGGAAAAAGTTCAGCCATTATTAACATAATGAGAATTGTTTGCATGACATTGATGTAACCTGACAGCCAAGGAGAGTGGACTGGAATGCACATGTGTGAACAATGATGCCTTCACTGTACTAGTCAGTGGGAGCAGTAGATGCCATTGAGTGAGCATGTGTACTGAGTGGCCATCTCATTAAAAATGAATGAGCAAGTAAAGCAACAAATCTGTAACAAATTTTGTGTTGAGCTTAAACATTCCTCTTCAGAAACTATTCTGATGATTCAGAAGGCTTTCAGGAAAGATGGAATGAGAGATTGGCAGCTGCATCACAACAACATGCCTGCTCATGCACCATGCCTCAGGCAATATTTTTGGCAAAATATCAAATCATCCCGGTGACTCAGCCCCCCTACAGCCCAGATTTGGTGCCCTGAGACTTCTGGTTTTTCCCAAAACTAAAATTACCTTTGAAAGGGAAGAGATTTCAGACCATCAGTGAGGATGAGGAAAATACGACAGGGCAGCTGATGGCAATTCCAACAAAGGATTTTGCAGTGTTTTAAACAGTGGAAGAAATGCTGGGAGAACTGTATGAGGCCCCAAGATGCCTACTTTGAAGGGGACTGAGGTGTCATTATCCTATATACAATGATTCTCGTATCTTGTACCTTCTTCGATAAATGTCTATTTTTCTTATTACCTGGAAGGATACTTTCCAGACAGAGCTTATATATAAAAGACATTCTGTTCATTGTCAAGTCAGAAACCTCTGTCTCAACAGTCCCTGTCTGTGCTATTATCACACCTCCACCAACAGAATCCAGAGGCCTACTAGCCAAGTAAAGTTTCTTGGGATTGTGTGGGTGGATTCACAATGCCCAATCTCTTTAGCCATCAAGGAACAACTAACTGGCTCCTCGGCACCCCATCACCAAAAAGGCAGCCTAGCACATTGTTGGACTCTGGGTATTGGAGGCAGTGTGGCTCTGTGACATGTCAGTGTGGCCAGGCTGATTGCAGCATACACTTTGTTAATATAATTAAAGTCCATAATCAACTGACCTTCAATTACTCAAAAGAGAGATTTTCCTGGATGGGCCTTACTCCATCAGTGAGAAGCCCTTTGGGAGAACTTAGACCACCCTTGAGTGCAGAGACTCCAAACTGTAGTGGGGGCTACATATAGTTGCTTTCCCTTCCCCCAAATCCCCCCTCCTAACCGCTGCCTGGGGCCACAGTCTTCAGCTGGCATCTGTGGGATCCAGCCGCTTCTCCGCAGCCCTTCCTGTCTGCCTGCCTCTGGACTTCTGGGTTACTTAGCTAGTCCCCATGATGGAGTAAGCCAACAACATGTATGGTATATGTGTTATGTTTTTCTATTTTGTCCCTACTGCTCCTGCTTCTCCAGTTGAACCCTGGTTGATACAGTCCCCCTTGGACATTCTACTTGGTCCTTTATACTGGCTACACCACAAGGCAGTACCCTGAGTTGTGCCAAAATCAATCACCTGCATGGAGAAATGTCCAGCAAGCTGTGGCATATTCTCTACCTTTGGGCCCCACAACCTTAAAGACCCCATTAAGGAGTCCCCATGAGTTAAGTTGTACTCATGGAGGTACAACTCGCCATAGCTGATGATTTTGCCAACTGGAGCCTCTAGCAAAGGGCGGCAGCCTTTACCTGGAGGTGCCCCTTGAGATCTTGGAGTCCTTTCCTCCCTGGATTCTCCTGGTGAATTGACAAGGTCCTAGAATCACAAAGATAATGACTAGTCAAGTATGCTGTGGGCTGAAGAGGGGGACATAATGGGTCTCTGTACTTTATAAAAATTCTCTTCAGGGAATAGGAGTTTATTTGAATAAAAAGGTGAAAGTGTTGCTACTGAAATGGGTCACACAGATGTTCCTGGAGGTGGAGAGATAGAAATAACCTCAGCATCTAGGGACAGAACAACTCATACCCAGATGACAGGGGTAGGGAAGATCACTCACTTATGATTTTTGTCTTTCAGAACTGTGCCTGGAGCAGTCCTCATGAAGCAAAACACCATGGAGAGTTTCCCTCAAACTGTTCTAAGTACCTTAAATTTAACTGACTCCTGAATCTGCCAAGCTCTGACAGATGGCTCTGACTACAGTATGATCCCCATTACCTACAAGTCTATCAGAAACATGTGCCCCAGCTCCTGTACCTCCCATGCAAAACACCTGTCAATACCCCTAGCTGTCTTCTCTACCCCTGAGAACCTCAAAGCAAACCACAGACCCTAATAAAGGCATGTACCCCAGGTCCTGCCATTCTCTCTGCCTGCATCCTGCCTTGACCACTCCATGTGGCCTCACAAGGAGTGCCAGGTATCTGCTCCAGGTACCTGTGAATAATAAACTTCTCTACTTCAATTTCTCTTGCAAGTTTTGGTTGAGCTGCAGTAGTTATCAGAGGAGGACTGGAAGTGAGTCATAACTTTCACAACCACCCATCCATAATTAAGCCATGCCCATCTCCACCCCAATGTCTGTGAAACAGGTGGGGAGCAGTAATGAGACATTCTTATTTTACCCCTCCCAAATAGAAGCTTATCCTGTGGAGGCCTAGTGGGAAGTGAAATCCCCACCCCACCTCAGACGCCAACAAGACAAAATCAAGAACCTGAACTTCTGGTCTCACCTGTAGTAACAAGTCAGCAGCACCCCATCTCTGTCAAGAAAGGTATCAGAAAAAAATCACTAAAACTGAGGTGTTAGATAAAATCCAGAGTCTCAGAACATAACACCCAAAATGTCCAGATTAACTGAAAATCACTCAGCATATCAAGAACCGAAAAGAACTCAACGTGAATGGAAAAAGGCAATCAAGCGATGCTGACACCAAGATGATCGAATGTTAGAACAGTATGACAAATGTTTTTAGTCCAACACCACACGCTTCAATGAGCAATTATAAACATGCCTGAAACAAATGAAAAATTAAAAGATCTCACAAAAGAAATGGAAGTTACAGGTCTCCAGTTCAATTCCAGTCAGGGCACATGCCACTCAGTCCCTGTGGTGGCGTGCAAGAGGCAACCATACATCGATGCTTCTCTCTCTCTCTCTCTCTCTCTCTCTCTCTCTCTCTCTCTCTCTCTCTCTCTTCCCTTCTCTCTAAGTATAAGTAAATAAACTTTAAAAAAGAAAAAAAAGAAATGGAAGTTATAAAGAAGAACCAGATGGAAATTTTAGAACTAAGAAACACATTATCTGAAATTTAAAAACTCAATGGATGGAGGGAACACTGGAAGATAAAACAACAGAAATTACTCAACCTGAACAGCAGAAAAAAGCAGACTTAAAAAAAAAAATGAACAGAGCCTTAGAGCCTGTGACACTACAGTAGTCCAAAAAGGGCAGTTAAAAAAGTAATTATTAAAAATTTTCCAAATCTGGCAAAGGATATAATTCTACAGATTCAAGAAGTTAAGTGAACCCCAAACAGAACAAACCTAAAGAAATTCACTCCAAAACATATCATAATCAAACTTTTGAACACTAAAAGAAAAAAAAATATTGAAAGCAGAGAAAAGATAAACATTACCTAGGGGGGAAAAATCAAATTCAAATGACAGTGAGTTCTTCATCATAAATCATAGAAGCCAAAGGAAGTGGAAGAACATTTTTCAAGTGTTGGAAGAAAAGAACTATCAACCCATATACTATATGCAATGAAAACGTTCTTCAGAAATGAAGAGGATATCAAAGCATTTTCAGATAAAGAAAAACTAAGAGAATTTGTTAGCAGCACACCTACCCTAAAAAGATGTCTAAACAGCAAAAAAAAAAAACCAAAGAAGAAATCTTGGACCAACAGGGTCAATCCACTAACAAAATACAGCAATCCTAATGTGTATAAAAACAACAAAGCTGTTAAATATGTGAAGGAAAAAAAACTGATGGAACAGAAAGAGGAAATAAATAAATCCATAATTATGGTTAGAGATCTTAACATCCCTTTCTCAGCAATTGGTAGAATAACTAGAGAGAAAAGCAACAGGGATATAGAACTAAATCATCAATCAACAGGATGATTGATCTACATTTATAGAACATTCCATTAACAACAGCAGAATGCACATTCTTTTCAAGTGCCCACAAAATATACACCAATAAGACCATATCCCGGACCATAGAAAAACACATAACAAATTTAAAGAAGTGAAATCATATAGAGTGTATCCTTTGACCTCAATGGAATCAAAATAGAAATCAAAAACAGAAAGATATTAGGAAATTGGCATGAAAATGTTATATAATCCTGAATGAAAATAAAAAATACACCATGAAATTTGGGGGACACAAGGAACTAAAAGAGAAGCATATAACATTAATGCACATTAAATAAGAAAAAAGTTTCAAATCAATAATCTAAGCTCCCACCTCAAGAGCCCATAAAAAAAAAAAAAGAACAAAAACACAAACTCATAGCAAGCAAAAGAAAAAATAAGAAGAAACAGAAATCAATAAAATTAAACAGAAAAACAACAGAGACAAAAAATAATAAAAAAAAGAGCTGGCTCTCTGGAGAGTTATTAAAAATTAACAATCCGCACAAGCCTGGCAAAGTACAAAAGAGAGAAAACACAAATGACCAATATCAGAAATAAAACAGAGGATGTCATCGCAGACTCTGCACATATCATGAGGATAACAGGGAATGCTATGAACAAATTTATGTATGCAATTTCACAACTTAGATAAAATGGACCAATTTCTTGAAAAACACAAATTATCACCAATTACCTAATATGAGATAGAAAATTTAAATAGCTCTATAACTATTAAGAATATTGAATTCATAATTTTAAAACACCCAGAAAAAGAAATCTCCAAGCCCAGAAGGCTTCAATGGAGACTTCTACAAAGCATTTAAAGAATTAACATCAGTTCTAAACAATCTATTCCAGAAAACAGAAGAGGAGCAGACATTCCTATTTCATTTTATGAAGCTAGTATTTCTATAACAAACCAGACATTATAGAAAAAAAATAACTACAGCCCTGACTGGCATGGCTCAGTTGGTTGAGTATTATCACGCAAAGCAAAAGATCACCTGTTTTATGCCTGGTTAGGGCACATGCCTGGGTTGAGGGCCTGGTCCATAGTTGAGGTGCATGTGAGAGGCAACCAATTGATGTTTCTCACTCACGTCAATGTTCCTCTCCCTCTCTCTCTCCCTCCCATCTTCTCTGTCTAAAATCGATAAATAAAAAAAATTAAAATTAAAAAAGAAAGCTACAAACATCCCTTATGAATATAGACATAAGCATCCTTAAATTATTAGTGCATACAATTCAGCAATATATACAAAGAATTATATACCATGATCAAGTGGGTTTCTTCCAGGGGTGCGAGGCTAGTTCAGTCCACATATTTGAAAAGATATCCATTTAATCTACCATTTTAATAGGCTAAAAAAGAAAAATCACATAATCATATCAACCAATGCAAAAAAGCATCTGATAAATTTCAACATTCATTCACGGTAAGAACTCTTAGAAAAATAGGAATAGAAGAGAACTTCCTCAACTTGATAAAAGACATCTACAAAAAAAAAACCCTATGGTTGGGTGGTTCAGTGGGTTGGAGTGTCATCCCACACACCAAAAGGTTGTGGGTTTGACTCCCAGTTAGGGCGTGTGCTTAGGCTACAGGTTCAGTCCCAAGTCAGGATATGTACAGAAGGCAACTGATTGATGTTTCTCTCTCACATCAGTGTTTCTCTCTCTCTCTCTCTCAAATCAATACAAACATATCCTCAGGTGAGGATTAAAAAAAAAATCTATAGCTAACATTCTACTTAATGGTGAAAGACTCAATGCCTTCTTTCTAGAATCAGGACAAGGCAAGTATAGCCACTCTCACCACTTCTATTCAACACAGTGCTGCAAGGTCTAGCCAGTGCAATAAGACAAGAAAAGGAAATAAAAGGCACACAAAATCAGAAAGAAAACTGTACCTATTTGCAGATGATATGATTATCTACACAGAAAATCCCAAGGAATCTACCAAAAAAAGATCTTCTGGAATAGGTGAGTTCAGCAAAACCACAAAACATACAAATACATACAAAAACCAGTTTATTTCTATATCCTAGCAATGAACACATGGACACAATTAAAAATACAATACCATTTGCAATCACTTAAATATTTATTTAGGTGAAAATGGAAGAAAATAGGCACAGGATGTCTATGCTAAAAACTACAAAACAGAAGAAAAAAATCAAAGATCAAAATAAATGGAGAAATATATTGTGCACATAAATTAGAAGATTCAATATAGTAAAAAAAATATCAATTTTCCCTAAACAACATACAAATTTACCACAATCCCTATCAAAATCACAGCAAGATCTTTTATAGGCATAGACAAAATTATTCTAAAATTTATACGGAAATGTGAAGAAACTAGAATAGCTAAAATAATTGTGAAAAAGAAAAATAAAGTAGGAGAAATCAATTTACAATTTCAAGACATTATATAACTACAGTAATCAGGACTGTGTACTATCAGTGGAGGAATAGATGCATAGACCAATAAAAAAGAGAAGCCAGAGAAAGACCACATAAATATGCTCAACTGATAACTTTGCAACAAATGGGTGCTGAGTAATTTGACATCCAGCACAATAAAAAAAAAAACCTCAACCTAAATCTTACAACTTATACAAAAATAACTCAAAATAGATTATGTTAATTATAAGCCACAAAAC